AAAGAAGTTTAATTTTACTTACAGTTCCACATGGCTGAGGAGGCCTCAGAATCATGGCAGGGGTGCGAAAAGCACTTCTTACATAGTGGAGACGAGGGAAAATGAGGAAGCAAAGGTGGAAACCCCTGATAAACCCATCAGATCTCATGCGACCTATTCACTATCACGAAGCTAGCACGGGAAAGACCAGCCCCACGATTCACCTCCCCCTGGGTCCCTCCCACAATACGTGGGAATTCTGGGAGATGCAATTCAAGTTGAGATTTGGGTAGGGACACAACCAAACCATATCCCTAATCCCGTGGAATCCCTGGGTTTGGGGTGAACCCCCAGGGCACTCAGCTTGGAGGCCTGGAAAGTGGACTTCCCGGGGGTGAGCCCCGGCTCCTGCCCAAGGCCTTGGGTGGTCAGCATGGATGTTTTTCTCTCGCAGTTTTTCTGTCACTATTCTCTGAGTGCTTACCTGTCAGTTTATTTCTGTCTGGGTTGATTTTCAGGGTTAGTGGATGTATTTCTCTTCCTCTGATGGGGAGAAAGGAGTCAGTTTCCATTCTTAGCTGTCCCAGATTGTCTGTTTCTCTTCTTGGTCATCACTTTCTAAATTGTATGGACTGAGGTTAGACTCCTTTCTTGTTTTTTTTTTTTCTGTTTTGAGACGAGTCTCATTCTGTCATCCAGACGGGAGTGCAGTGGCACGATCTTGGCTCACTATAGCCTCCACCTCCCAGGTTGCGATTCTCCAGTCTCAGCCTCCCGAATAGTTGGGGTTACAGGCTCCCGCCACCACGCCAGCTAATTTTTTGTATTTTTACTAGAGATGGGGTTTCACCATGTTGGTCATGCTGGTCCCAAACTCCTAACCTCGTGATCAGCCAGCCTAGGCCTCCCAAAGTGCTGGGATTACAGGCATCGGCCACTGTACCCAGACTCTTCATTTTTTTAAAGAAATTTTCTGCTGTTAAAAATTTCCCTGGCTTTTATTTTTTCACCTTTTGTTGTTGGGAAAGTGCAATTCTCTGGCTGGATTTTATTCTGCCATCTTGACCCAGAAACCTTGTGGTGAGCTTAAAAAAAAAAAAAAAAAGAAAGAGTGAAAAAAAAAAAAAAACATTCCTGGGCCCCACCCTGGACCTTCTGTTGCAGAGGGTCTGGAATAGGGCCGAGTATATAATTTTTGAAACCTTCCTGTGGTTCTTCAAATCAGCCAGGTCTAAATCCACCATCCTTATAAAAGGATGTTTATTTTTTCTTTTGCCTTTTTAGTTAGACTACCTGAAAAACAAGTTGAGATTCTCTACCTGAAAACACGTCAGATTTCTCAGAAAGACCCCATAAATTGAAAGATTTTTTTAAAGTGATTATTTGCTTGATCATTTTTTAAATTTTTTTTGTTTTTTTCTTTATTTTTTTATTTTTCTTAGCTTGTTCATTTTTTAAATAACATAATACAAAAAGGGTAAAAAGTTTGTCCCAAGAGAACAGCAGTGGAAAGTTGGTCTTATTTTTCAGTAGTACTCGAGAGAATTATCCTTAGAAATGAGGTTCACTTCTAGATCTCTTTACCTTTTAGATTTATGCTGGTATTTATAGAGTGAATTATTCATTAGTGCTTTTAAGAAGCACTTGGAATGCTATATATGCCAGCATTGTCAAAGTGATTCCCATTTATCAGAACTCAATGGTCTTTACAGAATATCACCTGCAAGGGATCGAATTTAATCCTGTTTAGGATTTGACTGATGAAAGAGCACTATAAAGAGTACTGGTTTTACCAGTATCAGAAGATTCAGATTCAACTGAGGTGTCCTTCAACTAGATACACAATTTACATGATTTTTATGGCTGCTAAGGACTGGAAGGAAGCTAAAAATAAAATGTGGATTTAACATTATGAAATAATTTTTATATGAAGTGTGAATTTAGAAGTGGTATTTTCAATTTGTAAGTTACTGGTAACAGAAGAAATGATTAATATTTAAAATCACGCGGTAGTCTGGAGACGGTGGCTCATGCCTATGATTACAGCACTTTGAGAGGCTGAGATGGGAGGATTGCTTGAGGCTAGGAGTTTGTGACCAGCCTCAGCAACATGACAGGACTCTGTCTCTACAGAAAAAATAATAATAAAAATGAGCTGGGCATGGGGGTCTGCACCTGTGGTCCTAGCTACTTGGGAGGCTAAAGTGGGAGTATCCTTGGGGCCCAGGAGTTTGAGGCTGCAGTGAGCCATGATTGTTCCACTGCACTCCAGTCCAGGTGACAGAACAAGACCCTGTACCTAAAAAAAAATTAAATAAAAATGGATTTTTAAATAAACTATGCACTAAAAGTATTTCTCATGCAGCCACTAGGCTTTTCCGAAACTCTGATCTCCCATATGTGCTGCTCTCAGTATATTTGGAAAATAACCCATTGATAATGTAGTCATCTGTTTTGCACACACTTCCCATTCATTTTTTTTTTTTTTTTTTTTTTTTTGAGACGGGGTTTCGCTCTTGTTACCCAGGCTGGAGTGCAATGGCACGATCTCGGCTCACCGCAATCTCCGCCTCCTGGGTTCAGGCAATTCTCCTGCCTCAGCCTCCTGAGTAGCTGGGATTACAGGCATGCGCCACCGTGCCCAGCTAATTTTTTTGTATTTTTAGTAGACGGGGTTTCACCGTGTTGACCAGGATGGTCTCGATCTGTTGACCTCGTGATCCACCTGCTTTGGCCTCCCAGAGTGCTGGGATTACAGGTGTGAGCCACCGCGCCCGGCTTCCCTTTCATTCTTGATCCTTGTGGTGGTGTTTTTACTACATCTGTCGTTTAAGGAGTGGTTGTGATCATAAGCCAACTCAAAGACCTGTACTTTACTCTTGACATAAAATATTTATCTTTTTTGCATTGTTTTTTTCTCCAAGGGACATTCTTTAAGAAAATAATTGCTTTTTCACATTCTTTTGGCTCTAGAATTATTAAACACTGCCATGTATCTGCAGTATCAGCAGAGAAAGCATGTATAGTTTATATGCCTATGCTGACATGATCGAAGTCTTCAATTAAGTACATTTTTCTTTCATCAGTTAGTCTAACTATAATTTTTAAACTATTATATACATGTGTCCGTTTTTTGAATAATTGCGACAGTTGATGTTCTACTGGATGTTATCTAGTCCCTCAGAATTTCAAAACAAGAAGGACAATAGAGGTCATGTCGTCCAACCCCTGCTGACGTACAGATTAGGAACAGGAAACTCAGATTGGCTCATTTGCTGAGGTCATGCTGTCCGGGCACATGGTCTCTCCATTCCCAGAGCAGTGCCCTTTGTAATAAAGCCAGGGGCCTCTCCCATCATCTGGTAGCATTTGTTACAGATGAAACCACATGTCATTTGGTATGCAAAAGTACCATGACCAAAATTGTAAATTGGTTATCATACAGTTGTAGATTTGGGGGAAGTAGAAGAAATAGAAGTAAAATGTGAAATAATAAAGAGGAATAGCAACAGGGAATTAACAAGGAAGTGAACACTGAGATGCTGACACACGGAGAGTTCCTACTGTGGATTACTGCTCAGCATGCTGTCGCTATTTCTTGGCCAGGTGCAGTGGCACTTTGGGGGGCCAAGGCGGGCGGATCACCTGAGCTCAGAAGTTCGAGACTAGCCTGGTCAATATGGTGGAACCCATGTTTGTAGCCCAGCTACAAAAATTAGCTGGGCGTGGTGGTGCATGCCTATAATCCCAGCTACTTGGGAGTCTAAGACCAGGGAATCACTTGAACCCAGGAGGCAGAGGTTGCAGTGAGCCAAGATCACGTCACTGCACTCCAGCCTGGGCAACAGCACTACTCCGTCTCAAAGAAACAAGAACACATTTCTTTGAGAAACGTTTCTCTAACTATGGCTGTTTCTCTAACTATGATCACCTAAAGTCAGGACCCAAGAGAAATCAGTCAGTAGAACCAGTGTTAGTGAGAATTTTTTGTTTTTTGGGTTTTTTTTTCCCCATGATTACCTCTTAGTTTTTGTGTCTTTTTGAGAATATAAAGAAAAATATTTAGATTCTTAACCTGGAGATGAGATTAGGAAGGGAACCTGGATGATTTTGGCTAATCTGAATGTGTTCAATGCAAACCTGCTAGGCAGGGTAAAAGTTTTTCTAGTTAAATGTCTTAGCATCAACACCCCCAAAATATTGTCTCAATTTCCTTCAGGAAGACTTATTCACAGGTCATTTTTATGTGCTCTCTGGTAGAGCAGCCACACAGCCTTAGAAACATGCCCCTGGCACTCTGATATTTTAATTTAAACATTTGGACACAGTTTTCCTTGGATTTGGAGCAGTAACACCCCAACTCAGGATGACCACGAGAGAATGGTGGCCTGATAAGGAAAACACCTCAGTGCCACAAATGAGAGCTACTGCACAGCCAAGCGCGGTGGCTCACACCTGTAATCCCAGCACTTTGGGAGGCCAAGGCAGGCAGATCATTTGAGGTCAGGAGTTTGAGACCAGCCTGACCAACATGGTGAAACCCCGTCTCAACTTTTGTACTTTATGTAAAAATACAAAAAAATTAGCCTGGCCTGGTGGCATATACCTGTAGTCCCAGCTGCTTGGGAGGCTGAGGCAGGAGAATTGCTTGAATCTGGGAGTCAGCGGTTGTTGCAGTGAGCTGAGATCGCGCCGCTGCACTCCAGCCTGGGCGACAGAGCAAGACTCTATCTCAAAAAAAAAAGAAAGCCACTGCATATTTACACACGGCCTGTCCCCTCCAATTGAATAATTCTGTTCTTATTTACTCTGCCTTTGAGACAAGAGATGAAAAGCCATGCAAGTGCTTAATAACAGGAGCTTCATCACGCATGTTGAAAGACTGAAGGAAATGGATTTCAGCTGTGGACTTTTTTTTGTTTGTTTTAAAACGTGTAACAAAAGCACTAATGTCATCTTTCATTCCTGATTTCTTAATTATCTTTCTCTATAAAGCTGACATGTCTGCATTTTTATTTCAGGAATCTTTCAAAGAAGTACCAACCTAAAAAGAACTCGAAGGAGGAAGAAGAATACAAGTATGTTTACCATTAAAAATTGTCTGGTAACGCTCACGTGCCATTGATGCGGACACACAGAAAGGAGAAATACATGTCTATCAAAATAAGTTGCATTTCCCATTTGTTTTGTGTCAGTTTTTAAATTGGGGAAGAGAACAATAAAAATATAATTAACTTTTCCTATATGGAGTCACTGGAGCTGTAACCAATTGTTTCAATTAAAGTAATTAGGAAAACTTTAGAATGTAATTAAGCAAAAACAGGAAGTATGGAATCTGCATTCTGGAGTCTTGATTTGGTTTGGCACTATTAGGAGTACCTGTCATGCTAGTCATTCATCCAAGAAATATGTCCATTTCAGTCAGCAATTAAGGCATCTTAACGCTAGGCAGCTCAAGTATTATATCTCTAATGTAGATCTAAATACCCTTTACATTAGCACATATAGCATGTATATGAATTTTGGATTATATCTGGGCTAAGTATGAACGAAGCCAAATATGACATTACATGGAGCGCTTCAGTTTTGCAAAATGAAAATGTTTCAATTGTAATTAATTCTGACCCATTTTGATGAGAACACTGGATGTGTAATGAATACTCAGGATCCTATGGGAGGTGGATGCCAATTAACCTCATTTTAATTAATATTTCCTTGGTGTAAAGCAGAATAAGAATGAATGTGGCCTTGTATGAAAAGCTGTGGTGTGTGTTCTGTTCCATAGGTATACGTCATGTAAAGCTTTCATTTCCACCCTGAATGAAATGAATGATTATGCCGGGCAGCATGAGGTTATCTCCGAGAACATGGCGTCACAGATCATTGTGGACTTGGCACGCTACGTTCAGGAACTGAAACAGGAGAGGAAATCGGTGAGCAAAACTTTATTCTTTTTCTTCCTACAAGATGGACCAAACACAGTGGGAATATCCCTAGAAGATTAAAATTAAATAAAACCATGTAAGACGGTGGGTCTTAAACTTCACACCTTTGAGAATCATATAAAAGTTATGGATCCCAGCCAGGCATGGTGGCTCACGCCTGTAATCCCAGCAATTTGGGAGACTGAGAGCAGATCACGAAGTCAGGAGTTCGAGACCAGCCTGATCAACATGGTGAAACCCTGTCTCTACTAAAAATACAAAAATTAGCTGGGTGTGGTAGCGGGCGCCTATAACCCCAGCTACTCGGGAGGCTGAGGCAGGACAATCACTTAAACCTGGGAGGTGGAGATTCCAATGAGTCGAGATGGTGCCATTGGACTCCAGCCTGGGTGACAAGAGCAAAACTCTGTATCAAAAAAAAAAAAAAAATAGTGCTTATAAGTAGGTCAAAAAAAAATGGAAAGATGTCCCCAGTTAAATGCATTCCGTTCCCTGGCTCATTCATTGCTAATGAAGCAGACGTGACTGTTCCTCTTGCCACCATTACTGTCATTTCATAAACAGGTCTTGTTGTTAACCAAAGAGAAGAATGTTCACTCAAAGTATATTCTTAGTTACAATTTTGCCTTAAGCGATTTATCTTTAAGCCATGGTCTGTATCATTGTACTTTGACTACATGTGTAGTACAGAATAATTTGTTACTAGTGATAAAGTAACCACCTTGGCCAGTGATAAAACTTTTTTTTTTTTCTGAGACAGTCTGGCTCTGTTGCTCAGGCTGGAGTATAATGGCACAATCTTGGCTCACTGCAACCTCCACCCCTCAGGTTCAAGCGATTTTCCTGCCTCAGCCTCCAGAGTAGCTGGGATTATAGGCATGCATCAGCACACCTGGCTAATTTTTGTATTTTTAGTAGAGTTCTAGTTGGCCAGGTTGGTCTCCAACTCCTGACCTCAGGTGATCCACCTGCTTTGGCCTCCCAAAGTGCTAGGATTACAGACATGAGCCAACAAGATTGCTATGGCTTGTGCTGAAATGGAGGTAACATTAAATAATAATGACAAAGTGATTATTTAATTGCAATTATGGTAGTTGCCACAAAGAAAGAGTACAACGTGCTAAGAGAACATACCGTAGGATCCCTGACATGCTAATGCTCTGGGGTCAGGAAAGGGCTTCACAGTTAAGGCTACTGTAAGACTTGAGGGATGAGTAGGACTTGTTTGGGACAAGCATTCAGTAGAGAGCAGCCAGGGCCCCCGGGCAGGAAGGCCTTTGAAAACATTTCAGTTTAGTTCTTTCTAAACTAGAAATGCATAGCATCTGGCCTTGGATAGGTTTAAAAGTCAGGAAGAGATAAATGCCTTAAGATCAACCCATTGGTTTAAAACAATAGCACTGTGCTGACAAACCGAGAAATTTTCATCTGTTCACATTAGCGCAATGGCTCTCAACTAGGGACAGTTTTGCTCCCTACTCCAGCAACACCTGTCAACATCCAGAGATTGTTTGGTTATGCCAGGGAGGCAGCTAAACAGCTCAAAATGAATGTCCAGGAGCGCTCCACAACAAAGAGTGGCCTGGCCCGAAATGTCTCTATTGCTGAGCGTGAGAAACCCTGCACTGGAGCCCTAAATGAGATGACAGCCTCTGCTAGACCATTCATTAATGATTTCTTTAGTGACAGAAGGATGCAGTGAAACAATACTAAGGTTCAGAATGAAGCACAAATATCTAAGATAATGATAAAATGAATACAATCAATCTTAACATGATCTTGGACTACTTCCCTGGACCCTGAACTTCCCTTGACCTTGCAAAGGTTTATATTTTCTTCCTGTTTGGTTTCTTTTGCCAGTGCTTTCCCTCTTTTTTTTTCTGAGAGGGAGTGTTACTGGGTTGCCCAGGCTGGAGTGCAGTGGCGCAATCTTGGCTCACTGCAACCTCCGCATTTCGGATTCAAGTGATTCTCCTGCCTCAGCCTCCCGAGTAGCAGGGATTACAGGCACATGCTACCACACCCAGCTAAGTTTTTATATTTTTGGTAGAGACAGGGTTTCAGCATGTTGGCCAGGCTGGTCTCACACTCCTGACCTCAAATGATCCACCTGTGTCGGCCTCCCAAAGTGCTGGGATTATAAGCATGAGCCACTGTGACCCCTCATATACCTTTGCTGCGTTATGACCAAGTTGTTTTATATTTTATTTACTCAGTGTTAATTATGACTTTTTTATAGTCAGTCATATCTGTATATTGGATTTAGTTCCTTTTGTTAATCAAAAATTATAGTAATTTATGGAATAAATTATAGGAGGTACAGATCCACATTAAATGTCTTGCAATACATAGTGTTCCTTTTATTTTTAGGAGAATTGCGAGTACAGGTTTCTGAGTCAGACGTTCTGTTGGGAGGAGCTGTTAACATCATGCTCTTCTGAAACATTCTGTAATTAAATCAAAACGACATTTTAGAAAATCATGAAATCTTTTGAAATACTAGAAAGAATATCAGTAAACTAATGTGTGTTATTTGTGTTATCTTATTTTATTTATTTAATTTTTTTGAGACAGAGTCTCACTCTGTTGCCCGGGCTGGAGTGCAGTCATGCAAACTCAGCTTACTGCAGCCTCTGCCTCCTGGGTTTCAGCGATTCTCCTACCTCAGCCTCCTGAGTAGCTGGGATTACAAGCATCCTGCCATGCCCAGCTAATTTTTGTATATATATATATATATATATATTTGAGACAGAGTCTCACTCCGTCACCAGGCGCCAGGCTGGAGTGCAGTGGCGTGACCTCAGTTCACTGCAACCTCTGCCTCCTGGGTTCAAGCAATTCTCCTGCCTCAGCCTCCCAAGTAGCTGGGATTACAGGTAGGCACCACCATGCCCAGCTAATTTTTTTTGTATTTTTAGGAGAGACGGGGTTTCACCATGTTGGCCAGGCTGGTCTCAAACTCCTGAGCTCAGGTGATCTGCCCACCTTGGCCTCGAAAAGTGCTGGGATTACAGGTGTGAGCCACTGCACCTGTCCTGTTTGTGCTATTTTAATATAATGCCTCATGGGCATTTTTTCTTTTTCCTTTTTTCTTTCTTTCTCTCTTTTTTTTTTTTGAGACAGAGTCTCATTCCGTTGCCCAGGCTGGAGTGCAATGGTTCGATCATGGCTCACTTAGCTTCAACCTCCTGGACTCAGGTGATCCTCCTATCTCAGCCTCCCAAGTAGCTGGGACCACAGGCATGTGCCACCACGCTCAGCCAATTTTTAAAAATTTTTTAGAGACAAGGTCTTGCTGTGTTGCCCAGTCTGGTCTGAAACTCCTGGATTTAGGTGATTCTCTCACCTCAGCCTCCCAAAGTGCTGGGATTATAGGCAACCCCATGCCTGGCCTATTTTTCTTTTCTCTGCATAATTGTTTCCATTATTTTGAATGAGTAAATAATGAATTAGCATTATGGTATACTAATCACTGTCATTTAAAAAATTATTCCAGTAATATTGGGGGCCAGGTGTGGTGGCTCACACCTATAGTCCCAGCACTTTGGGAGGCCCGGTTTTTAGCCTTGTGCTTGTTATAGATTATAATGGCTAACCTCAATTGCATTTTCACAAGTTAACCTTCACATTATCCCTGTGGGATGCGGACTGCTAGTTTTCTAGATTTTACCCAGGATAAGGACCCTGGAGCACAGGAAGGTGAAATGACCTGGGCGTGTTGCTCTGTGGTAGAGCTGGGTGTCCCACCCAGGCTGCCTCCTTCATGGGGCAGTGCATGTTTGCATGCATGGTTTTGTTTCCATTGAGTTTTTTTCAACATACCTTCAAGGATGCTGGAGTAAACAGTAGGATTATCTTCATCTGCAGCTAGCCTTATAAAAAGAACTATTTGGCCAGGCGCAGGGGTCACGCCTGTAATCCCAGCACTCAGGAGGCCAAGGTGGGCAGATCACTTGAGGTCAGAAGTTCAAGACCAGTCTGGCAACATGATGAAACCCTTTTCTACTAAAAATATGAAAAATATAAATATATATTTTAAAAAATTAGCTGGGTATGATGGTGCATACCTGTAATCCCAGCTACCCGGGAGGTGGAGGTTGCAGTGAGCTGACATGGCACCACTGCACTCCAGCCTGGGTGACAGAGTGAGACCCTGTCTCAAAAAAAAAAAGAAAGAAAAGAAAAGGAACTATTTAATACCTTCTTGTAATAAGCAACATTTCTCCTTTAGAGCTTTTACTTTTGGCTCCCCTGACTTAGTAAACACTAATTTTTGTAAGGATGACTCTTAACAGTGGAATGCTATCATTTCTGTCTTCTGTTGAGGTTAATTTTTGGCAGATTTAGCATAACAGAGTGAGAACTCAAATCCAGGTCTTCTGAGGCCAGATTCAGTCGCCTTCCCACTGGGCTGTGATGTGGGGCTGGCAGCGGACTTCAGGTCTGTCTTAAAGGATGGGGAAAGGCCATATAAGTTCTGAGTTCACAGAGCAGGAGCCCCCTGCTTGGTGGTGGGCAGAGGAGAGGAAGGACACAAGATTTTTAGCTAACAACCCTGCTCAGGATTCCTGGCAGCCCTGCCCTAGGCAGGTTATGGAAGCTCTCTGAGCATCCACTTATGCATCTGTAAGCTGAGACCGATCACAGTCACCTTAGGGAGTTTTGGGGACGATTGTGAGAAGACAAATATGAACCTCATAGCACAGCATTCAGGTATACTGACATATGGGTGCTGAATATGCAATTTCTCTTGCTGTAATCATTCTGTTCCTCAATACAGAATCTCAGTTCCACCCCAGAGCTTCTTGATCAGAGTTTGTTACAGAAAAAGGAGCATGCTGGCCACGAGTGGTGGCTCACGCCTGTAATCCCAGGACTTTGGGACGCCGAGGCTGGCGGATCACCTGAGATCAGGAGTTCAAGACCAGCCTGGCCAGCATGGCGAAACCCATCTCTACTAAAAATACAAAAATTTGCTGGGCATGGTG